TTTGCAACAGCATAGATGGACCTGGAGAGCATTATGCTAAGTGAAATAAGCCAGTCAGAGAAAGATAAATATCACATGATCTCACTCATTTGTGGAATATAATGAGCAACATAAACTGATGAACAAAAGTAGATCCAGAGACAGAGAAGCATCGAACAGACCATCAAACCTCAGAGGGAAGGCAGGGGTGGGTGGGGGTTGGGGTAAGAGATCAACCAAAGGACTTGTATGCATGCATATGAGCATAACCTATGGACACAGACAGTAGGGGTGTGAGGGCATGTGCTGGGGGGTGGGGAAAAAATAGATCCAAAAACAGAGAAGCGTAGAACAGACTGGCAAACCTCAGACGGAAGGCAGGCGAGGGTGGTGGTGAGGGTTAAGAAAGCAATCAAAGGACTTGTATGCATGCATATGAGCATAATGGATGGACACAGACACAAGGGGGATGAGGGCATGTGCTGGGGGGTGGGAGGGGCCGGGGAGAGGTCAATGGGGGGAAAAGAAGACATATGAACTAGTAATCTATATATCCTATTTAATAAAGAGGGAATATGCTAATTGATGGCGGCACCCACACCAATAAAGCAGAAATATGTTAATTGACTGTCCCACCCTCAAAGATGGTGGTGCCCACAGCCACAAGATGGTGGCGCCCAGTCCCCTCAGCCCCACTGGGGCTGCACGCCACCTCCAGAGTCCCCCAGTCCCATCAGCTCCTTAGCCCCCCAGGGCCGGCCCAAGGCGCAGACAAGCCTCAGATGGCATCTGCCCAGCCGCCCAGGGCCGCTCGAGGCTCAGGTAACCAGAGCTGACTGAGGTTTGCGCTGCCGGCAGTGGCAGCAGCAGAGGTGTGATGGGGGCATCGCCTTCCCCTGATCACTGGGTCGCCTCCCACCCCAGAGGGCTCTGCGAGTGGGGGCAGGCCGGGATGAGGGACCCCCCTCCAATACATGAATTTTCATGCACTGGGCCTCTAGTACTAGTATAAAAGGCTAATATGCTAAGTGTCTGTCTGGTAATGATGTCACATAGCAACGCCCGGCTTCCTCTCCCTAGTGACTAGCCTCCTTGGAGTTTCTTCAGTCCGGGAACAGGACTTGCTTTATACCCAGGTGCAAACATTTTACAGTTTAACCAAATGTTTGTGAAGTGTTTCCCATGCCTAATCTCATTTGATCCTCACAGAAGTCCTGGAGTAGGTAGATAGAAGACTCAGTAGAATCCTCTTTTCTTTTCATTAGCAGGAAAACAGAGATTTAGAAAGTTTAGAAACTTGACCTAACTGAAAAGAAGTAAGACATAGTGGAACTTGAAAATGACTTCAGGTTTTCTCACTGCACAGAATATAGTCAAACACTGCTATAGTTAAATATTTTATCCTTTGTTCTCCCTGCGTGATCTACAATAATGATCTGCTTTTGTATTGATATTTACTGCTGTGTTGCTGACAATTACCTGAAAGAGAAGTTGGGGTGCTTCACTGGGCTGGAAAAAGTTTAGCTAAATCAGAAAGCAGGTCTAATTAAGCAAGTTTATTCTCTGTATATAAAAGGCTAAGTTGACTCACGCAGGCGCAATACATTTAAAGCTCTCGCTGGTGCCAATCGCACGCGTGTGTTTTGATCTGTCATTGTCGATCGTGAATTTGGTTGACACTTCTATTATAGAGAAAGGGTGAATAGAGTTATTAAAATATTTCTTCTAATTAATTTCCTTTCAATGTGTACAAATTCATGTACCGGGCCACTATATTTTAAATAATAAAGAATTTTTTAAAAGAAATATATATATATATATATTTTTTAAATAGTGAATACCTCATAGGGTTATGAGGATTGCATGAGCTTAAAACTATGTAAAACATTATGGGGCCTAACACAGGAGGTGCAATATTTTATCTATTGCCTCAGAATAAAAAATAAATCTATGAAGATATCTCAAGTGGAAAAGTAATATGAGGTATATCTACAAAACTATTGGCTACAGAAGTGGAAGTCAAGGGCCTGCCTTTGGACTAATGGCTTTGTGGTCATATCATTGCAGTTGTGATCCAAATCTAGTTTAGGAAGCTGCTGCCACTTCTATCATCAGCACTGCTGCCACTGGTTCCTTACCAATAACTGTGGATACACACACTGGAATGTAGAGTACATAAGCCATCAACATATCCTTGGAACTGCCTGCCAGCCAGCAAGCCCTAGGAAGATATCCTCTGCTTAACTGAAGGCTTCCAAATATTGTGCAAAAGCATCTCATTGCCAGAACTGAAAATGTATAAGAACCCACATTGTATCCAGAATCCTAGCTGGAGGGGAGTCTGGGGTGTGTATTTTTTTTTGTTTTTTAGCCTTGGGGGCAGGGGACATAAAAAAGGTAGGAATGGATGCTGAGTAGAAACATAATATCCAGAGCATATATCTTTAGATAAATAAATCCTTCCTGACTCTTGACACCAACATTCCAACTATGGTCAAAATATAAGATATCACTGATTGGCAAAATCCTACAAAATACAAAGAGGGATGGGATAAGACTTAAGATCAAGGAATAAGTTTGATCAGGAAAATGGATATTTTTCTAGTATTGGAATGCAAATGGTGAGAAATACAGTTTATAGGTTCAGGCCAGAAGGAGAGGAGTGAAATTAAGGAAGGTTCTGTCTCAAGGCATGTATTATTTGTATAAAGTGGGGAGCAAATATCATCTTCCCTGAGTGAAAAAGGTCAAAACTGGCTAGGGGGCCTGATGATGATGAAATAGGAAAGCAAGTTGACATAGCATGAGAAATCTTTCTGCACACCAGCTAGCTAAATAAAGAAATGAATAAATAAATGAATAAATAAATAAATAAATAAATAAAACACAGTACTTATTTTATAAAGCATTGTTATTCTTATTTATTTGAAAATGTCAATTTTTAAAGTTCAAAATAAAAACAAGTTAGAAAATTTGAGCCTGTGTAAGAAGGGACATGACAGAAGAGGAACTGAAAGGCCTCTAAGGGCAACAATTTAATTACAGGGTAACAGAAACCCATTTATAGAGTATTGTAAACAATACAGCTATGGAGATACTGCTCTCAGGTTAACATGGCTTCATTTCCTTTATATTATTGTTTAGTGTGTGAGTGTGGACACCACTCTGCACAAGCTTCATTATCCAGACAACTGAGGGCCTCTCATCAGAAGGACCAAGTCCCCAAAACATGCATTTATACATGTCACTTTAAAATAAAGACCTTTCAATATTTTAAGCTATACCTTATCAACTAAAATATTTTGCAATCACAAAAATGTTTCCTATGGATATAGTTTGCACATTTATTGCAAGCCATTGACTAACCACAGACAGAGCAAATGCTAAGATCTGTGTTGTTTTTAATTTTTAGGTGAAGGGTGGCATATCTAAACTGCTGTACTTAAAAACAGAACAACAGCCAATTCTTAGACATCTTCTTCACTCTTCAGCTTCCAAAGACAGCTGTGTGTGGTTGGCTGATGTTGGACAACAGGAATAGTCTATTTCCTGTGAATGGTTCATTTCTGCCGTGCAGCAAGCAGTGAACAGCCCCATACCATGCAGCTATCAGAACTTGATACCTCCAGTACTAGAAAGAAAAGGGGCTTAGGAAGCTGAGAGGTTCAAGCTTCAAGTTTGGTTTCTAAACAATATTTGCAAAATCCATATTTATAGGCACCTTTCAAATGTATCTAGAAGACAGCTTTGATCAGTCCACTGGCCCCTTGCCTCTTTTTCCAGTGATCTTCCCCACCTGGCCAAATTTCACCTCCTTGGGAGAAGTGATTTTTCAATTGGGAGTAATTTGGATGTATGCTACTCTTCTGTGACCATCTTATAAATCTGGTATGTCACAGCTCTAATTTCTGAGATGCTTACTAAGGCAATTGTTTGATTCCAGGAGAAACTTGAGTAAACCAGTTCCAAATAATCTGCTTCATTAGTAACCAACACACAGCTACTAGAGGGGTACTTTTTCCCCCCTGGATATACAAACTGGACCAATAGCACATTTCTACAAATAATGCTTAGAGGCTGATGAATATTAAGTTTCTCATAACATATATGGGAGAGCAATATGTGAATTAAAGCTGTCTGCTGGGATACAATATCTCCTCAATGGCAAATTGTTTTAAAGATGAGAAGTTGCAATTTGAATATGCAATGTAGATATAATACCTGCTCACAGTCGATATTTTTTTTAAGTAAGCAAAGTACAAGCATACTACTTTACATACCACTTGGTATGGTTGGCTAAAAGCACTGAGGAAATATAAAACTTACAATGAGGCAGAAGGCTAGGGAAAAATTCTATTATGTATTGGAGAAGAGGTGGTCAACTCCATTGCTGAAGGGAGGACTGTCCAGTGCAATTTGCTAATGGATTTGGTGTTGGCATGAATGACCCATAAAGCTTTTGACCCACAGAACTAAAATGTTAACCAACACAAAAGGAATAAGGGTGCTACTGTCTTCTTGGTCTTATAGACAACATTGGATAGTAATAAAAAAAAGTGCATTGAGGGGTAGCAAATGATGGTCCAGGGAAAGGCAGCTGGATCATTGGGCTAATGTGTGTTTGTCTTTCACTCTACTCTAGTCATAACTCAAAAAGCTTCGCTGTCAGTAAATTTGGTACTGAGGGGCTTCCAGGTACAGGAAAGCATTGGGGGAAAGTCAAACTCACCTTTAATAATCCATGCCTAGTAGCTTTGTGATAGTAGCCAGCCCCAAAAGGGTAATTAATGGTTGTTAAAGAGGCACTATGAATTCAAGGCCAACAGAAGATCAATTAAGTCATTTGCCTACATTAGCTTTCCTTTTGTTATTGAATAGAAAAAACACTGAGGAGACTTCTACCACCACCTCTTGCTTTTATCCCTGTCAGGAAAAATGTAACCAACCAACCAATAACCAAACAAAAACAAACAAACAGAGGGAAGGGGGCTGACTCAAATACAAAATAAAAACCAAGGAAGTGAGCAAACTGAGCCAAATCATTCAGATGGACATTTTAAGATGCACTGAAGGCACACTCTGCCCAGGTACACGGTGATGGTTATGGAAGAATGGAGGTCTTGTTACTGGAGTCAGCCCGAATACACTCATCAGTTTGCTTCAACAGCCTCCGAACGAGCTTTTCTAGATCCCTTCTTGATTTCAATTCTTCTTCCAGGCATTGCTTCATTCTTTTATTCTCCTATTATGGGAAAAGACTTGATTACCAAACAAAGGGACCCCTTCTCAGGGCTCCTCCTGCTCATCCTCTTGGTGGTCTTCACTATGGACTACACTTTTCTTCCTCAAAATCCTTTCTCTCAGCTCCTAACACAAGGCAACTTCTTGATTCTCCTACCTCTCTCTGACAAACCTTTTGCATTCTTCTTTCTTGAAATACAACCATTCTCTAAGGCTCTGTTCCTGGTCCTCTGCTAATTCAATACTCTTTTCTTAGTGTCTATTCTCTTTCAACTCAAGTATCTACTAGGAGGCCTCCAAAATCTCTCTGGTACTTATTTCATCTCATCTCATGAGCACTAGGTCCCCAGTCCCCAATGCCAACTTGGTATTTCCCCCTAGATATGTTTCAAGCCCCTCAAACTCATTATGTCCTAAAGTGAACTCTATCTCCACCACCCCAAACTTCTCTTCCCTTGTGGTTGCTGATCTCCATGAAGGGCATCACCATATCAAACTAGATACCAAGGTAATAAGCTTCAACTTCAATCCCTGGCTCTTTCTTAATCCCAAAATCACACCATCATTTTCCACAGGCTCTAACTTTGCAATGTGCCTTCCTTTACATTCGTTTTCCTCCGCTGTAGCCTCAGTAGCACTACCTCAGGTCAGAACTTCATCATGTCTCACCCTGAGTTTTGTAATAAGTCCTAACTGGTCTTTCAGAGTCTGGTCTCTCTTCCTTTCAATCCATCCTTTACCCTGTCACTAGGTACAGTCAATCCTCAAACATAAGGAAGTGTGAACATCATGGAGCACTGGATCACATCTGCACTGGAGCTCACAAATTATGATTTATAATTCTGATTACATGCTCACAAATTACTTATCTTTTCTTAAATTCTGTTAACAAATATCAGGAAACACGAAAGTTTTAAGTAAGTTTTGGACCCTATTGTAAATCACTAAATAGGTTTAGAATCAAGCCTCAGAAGTTTCTACCCAAACCCACATGGTAAAATCAACAAAACCCACCTTGATGACACAAGGAAAATAAAAATCCCCACCTCACCATTTTGTTCCTGGACCTTTCCCGAGAGCATCTACTGGTGTGTGACAAGGAAGAGGGAGTTATGATTTGAGAAAAAAGACTTATATTTCATTACCTGTTTTAGTTCTTTCACCTCATCCTTCAAGGCATAAACAGTGTCAACGAGGCTCCTAGAACATAAAGTTTAGAGATCAATAGCTGGCACTGGAGTATTGTTAAGTAACACTTAACAAGAAAAGCAGCTTTATAGAAATACAGATCCTGAAAAACAGAGGATTTTCTACCTGACCAGAGAAAATACTGCTATTAATTGTCCTTGTGTTCCTCCTTGTTATGGGCTAACCACCATCACCACCCATGCTCATGCAAACTCCATGTCATTGCACCTTCTCTACATTTCTCTCCTCTTTTGCCACTCACTTCCCAGCTTGAGTATTTACATAAAAAGAACCTAGGGATTATCATCGGGTTTTTTATTTCTCTTTTGGGGGCAGGAATAAACATCACCTAACATATAATAAGTATCACAGGGCCCTACCAATCCTACAATATCTGTGCTATAGCATTGATTTTCTCACCTACAAGACACAAAGGCAGAAGCATTATTTCTGGAAGATCCCATCTACTTATATAAACCCTAATATGCAAATAGACTGAACGGCGGAACAACCAAACAACCCATCGCTATGACGTGCACTGACCACCAGGGGGAGCGTGTGGAACATGGCGGGCATTGGCCACAGCAGGATGGTGGAGCAGGTGAGTGGGGCGCTAGACCAAGGTGGGGCACCGGTCGCTGTCATCAGGGCGAGCCTCTGGTGGTTACTGAAAATTCTTTGCTCCTGCACAACACAGTCCCTCCCAGCGCTTGCACCTGCTGCTGGCGCTGTACTTGCTTGAACCCACTGCCAGTGCCGGAGCTGCCACTTGCACCTGCTGCTGGTGCTGGAGCTGCCACTCACACCCGCTGCTGGCCCTGGCTCTGATCACTCAGCGCCATCAGCAGGTGCGAGTGGCAGCTGCTGGCCCTGATAGCCAGTCAGGGCTTCTCCACCTCCTCCTGCTCCTGAGGGGCGATTGGGGCTGGCAGCCACCTCTCCCACCTGCTGCTGGTGATGGCCCTGCTTGCACCACTGCCGGCGTGAGCCCCAATCACTCGGCACCGTCAGCAAGTGCAAGCAGTGGCTGCCGGCCCCGATTGCTCCTGAGGGCTTCTCTACCTCCCTCTGCTCCTGAGGGGCAATCAGGGCAGCAGCTGCCGCTCACACCCACTGATGGCGCTGGCTCCACTCACACCCGATGTTGGCCCCAATTTCTCTGCACTGTCAGCGGGTGCAAGCAGGGCCAGCATTGTCAGCGCATGGGAACAGTGGCGGCAGGAGCGGGGCTGTCAGAAGACAGGGGATAGGGGGCCAGGGCGAGAGGGGACAGGCGAGGGCACAGAGGATGGGCTGAGACCCGCCCCTGTGCCCACCACAGCTTTGTGGCCCACAGTTCCTTTCAAGGTGCACAAATTCATGCACTGGGCCCCTAGTATATTCCATAAAAGGATAAAACACCCTAGCTGAGTTGTGAAGCAGTCATTTCTTCTCTGGCTCTTCCTGGACAAGAACTTTAGTGATCTGGGTTCCAGGTCTAATCCTACCACTTACCAAACAGTTAACCTTGGGTAACTAGTTCCTTCTCATTCTCTCTTGGTCTTTCTTCAGATACAAAATGTGGATAATGCCACATTCCACTGAAAACCTCACAAAGTTGTAGGAGGGATTAATATAATTATAGACCCTCCCTCCACCCAGTCATCAGGTGCAGGTGGGCCCCAAGTATGAGATCTATCAACCTGGCAAACATTGCTCACTCCACCCTGGAGTCTCCCTGAGATGTTGCTGCACACAACTTGCACACCAGACTGAACATCTTTCACTAGCTGCTCCTCACAAATCACTGGCCTCAGCCCATACTGCAGACTTTGGCTAAAATCTATCAAAGGTCCACAAACACAAAAGAAGCAGCAGTTGGATTTCACATGCCCTGTTCCTCTTGTTGAGCATGCCCAAGCCTGGCACTAGTGGCAGTCAGCCACAGTTCATGGCATAGCTTCTCCCAGGCACCTCCACACCAAGGAAAGGCAGCTGTCAACTGCAAATCACTTTGTAGCTCCTACCAGGTGGTCATGATCCAGGCAAAGGCAGTGGCTGGCATTTATCTCCATTGGAGACCCTCCTAAGAGGCCACAGAATCAATACACCTAGTGGCCAGATTCAAATCACACAAGGCTACCACCCAATTAGCTCAACAAATGACACACCCAAAGGGTGTATTTGGCAGGCACCAGAGCCCCAATAAAGCAAACTCCGCTCCATGAAGTCAGGCCCTGGACAACAGCTTATCCACTGCAGTTACAGCAGTCCTCTCAGTAAGTTAGCCTAAGGATCAATCCCACCCACTGATGTGCTAACAACAATCAAGGCTGAACTACAATCAAAGGCCTCACACAACCTGCATAAGGGACACCCTTGGGGTATCTAGCTCAGGTGACCAGGGAGACTGTACCACTGGACCCCACAGGACACCTACTATATAAGGACACCCTGCCAAGACTGGCAGGCATAACAGATCCACCATTTAATAAATAGAAAATAACACATGGAGGCAGCCAAAAAGAGGAGACAATGAACATGTCACAAATGAAATAACAGAACTCCAGAAAAAGCACTAAACAAAATGGAGAAAGCATAATATCAGAAACAGTGTTCAAAACATTGATTATAAGGATGCTCAATTAATTTAGGGAAAGAATAAATGAACTTGGTGAGAACTTACAAAAAGAAATAGAAACCATTAAAAAGAACCAGTCAGAAATAAAGAGTACAATAACTGAAATGAAGATTACATTAAATGAGAATAAAATAACACGTGAAATGGAATCAACAATAGATTAGATGAAGCAGAGGATCAAATCAGTGAATTGGAAGACAAGGTAGCAAAAAACGTAATTGGAACAGCAAAAAGAAAAAGATTAAAAATATGAGAATTATTTAAGAGACCTCTGGGATAAAATCAATTGTCAACATTTGCATCACAGGGGAACCAGAAGGAGAAGAGGGAGAGCAAGTGATTGAAATCCTATTTGAAGAAATAATGATGGAAAACTTCCTTCTCTAAATTGGTGACAGACATGGAAGTCCAAGAATCACAGAGAGTCCAAAACAAGATGAACCCAAATAGGCCAACACCAAGACACATCTCTATATATAAAAGCCCAGAAACTGACCGGTGGAACAACCAGAATGACTGGAATGTCCAGCCGGATCTGGAGTGGGGCCAGACAGCCAACTTCCTGTGACCCCTCCCCCTGGCCGGCCCCACCCCTGATTGGCCTCTCCCACCCCAATCGAGGACAGGGAAGCCAGCCAACCATCCCTGCAACCCCTCCCCCAGCTAGCCCCACTGCTGATCAACTCCCTACCCCATTTGGGGGCAGGGCTGGCCGGCCTACCACCCACAGTCCCTCCCCATGGCCAGTGTCACCTCTGATCAGCCCCCACCACCCCGATCAGCCCGTGGCCCCTCCCCCCAGCCAGCTCCACTCCTGATCGCCCCCCTACCAATCAGGGGTGGGGCCAGCCAGACCACCACCCACAGCCTTTCCCCACAGCCAGCCACACCTGCAATGAGCCCCCCCCCCAATCGGGGGCAGGGCCCGCTGCCCAACCTCCCCCTATATCCTCCTCACAACAGGCCCAGCTCTGATCTGCCCCGATTTGGGCCGGGCCGGCCAGACCCCACCCGTGCACGAATTCATGCACTGGGTCTCTAGTTTCTATATAAGGGGTGTATCACACAAACTGCACTTCAGGAAGAAGCCTGCACTAAGTTGCCTACCTCTGCATTGAACTGCCTTCCTTCACAGTGTTTCTTCAATCTGAGCCAGCCCTTATAAAGTAGTTCCTGGAATCCTATTTCAACCAATAGGACTGAGGCTTTCCCTGTATAATAGGAGTTATGCAGCTGTATTTCCATCTGTATCTTCACTAAAAAACTGGAGTGTCTCCATTCTGACCAACCAGAATAGTGTCTTTTGGACCAACCAAATTGTGAATATTTGGAGTCCTCATTTGCATGAGGACAAACCAATCAGGGACCAGAGACAGGGACTTCTGTCTATATGAATCAGCTCCCCTCTGGCTCAGAGAGTGCACTTTCCTTTTCCACCAAAGATGAAACATAAAAGGTGTCTTACTGGAGCAGAGCACAACTGTCTATGTGGAGAAAGGCTTGGCTCCAGGCTGCCTGGCCCCATTGCTGGCTCACCCTAGTGCTTCACAGCTAGGCTGTTTCACAGCTGTGCTGCTTCGTAACTGAGCTATAACACTATTGAGCTGTTTGCACTGAATAAAGTTTCCTTCTTCATTGTACCCCGAATTGGGAATTCCTGTTGGTGTTTAATTGATACCAACAACCATCATTTGACATACTCAAACTATATAAAGAACTCATATGACTTAACACTAAAAAAAAACCTAACAAACCAATTTAAAAAAATGAGCAGAGGACATGAGTAGACATTTCTCCAAAGACAACATACAAATGGTCAATAGATATATGAAAAGATGCTGAATGTCACTAATCATCAGAGAAATACAAATTAAAACCACGAGATATACCTGAAGCTAACACTAAATAATAATGACTATAAACTAGAATTGAAAAATAAAATTTTAAAAAAATAATGAGATATCACCTCATACCTGTCAGAAGGGCTATCACCAATAAATCAATAAACAACAAGTTTTGGTGGGATTGCAAATTGGTACAACCAGTATGGAAAACAGTGTGGAGGTTCTTCGAAAAATTAAAACTAGAACTATCAAATGGCTCAGCAATCCCACTTCTGAGTATTTATCTAAAGAAATCCAAATCACTATTATGAAAAGAGATGTGCATCCCTGTGCTCACTGCAGCATTATTTAAAATAGCCAAGATATGGAAGCAACCTAAGTATCCATCAATAGACCATTGAATAAAGAAGTGGTACATATACAATGGAATATTACTTGGCCATAAAACAAATGAAATCTTATCATTTGTGACAAAATAGATGGACTTATAAGGTATTATGCTAAGTGAAATAAGTCAGATAAAGAGAAATACCATATAATTTCACTTATATATGGAATCTAAAATACAAAATAAACAAACAAAATAGAAACAAATTCACAAATACAGAGAATAAACTTATGGTTGACTAGAGACCCGGTGCACGAAATTCGTGCATGGGTAGGGTCCCTAGGCCTGGCCAGCGATCAGGGCCAATTGGGGCCTTCCAACTGCCGGCTGGGGCCTTCCTTCATTCCGCGCTGACCCCTGGTGATCAGCGCATATCATAGGGAGTAATCAAGCTCCTGGTCTCCCGGTTGAACTCCCGAGGGAACAATTTGCATATTAGGCTTTTATAGATAGATAGATAGATAGATAGATAGATAGATAGGAGGGGTGTTGGGTAAAAAGGTGAAAAGATTAAGAAGTACAAATTGGCATATACAAAATAGTCCCAGGGACATAAAGCACAGCATAGAGAATATAGTCAATAATATTGTAATAAGTATGTATGGTGCCAGGTGGGTACTAGACTTATTGAGGATCATTTCATAAATTAGATGCATCTAACCATTATGCTGTACTCATGAAACTGATATAATACTGAATGTCAGCTGTAATGAAATTATAAAAATTTAAATAACATAGTCCTATATAATAAAGAGGTGATATGCAAATTGACCATCACACCCTCACACAAGATAGCTGCCCCCATGGGGTCACAAGATGGCCAAGAGGGGAGGGCAGTTGGGGGTGACCAGGCCAACAGGGGAGGGCAGTTGGAGGCAACTGGGCCTGAAGGGGAGGGAGGGCAGTTGGGAGGGACCAGGTCTGCAGGGCAGGGCAGTTGGGGGGGAACAGGCATGCAGGGGAGGGCAGTTAGACGTCGATCAGGCTGGCAGGGGAGTGGTTAGGGAGTGATCAGGCTGGCAGGCAGAAGCGGTTAGGGGCAATCAGGCAGGCAGGCAGGCGAGCGATTGGGAGCCAGCAGTCCCGGATTGTGAGAGGGCAGTCAGACATCCCTCGAGGGGTCCCAGATTGGAGAGGGTGCAGGCTGGGCTGAGGGACACCCCCCTGCAGTACACAAATTTCATGCACCAGGCCTCTACTTATAGTATAATCATTTATATTGAGTGATTACCATGTGTTAACCTTTATACACACTTATTATTCCATTTAAGCTCACAACAACCTGAAAGTATTACTACCATACCCATTTTAAAGATGAGGAAACTGAGGCACAGATAGATGCAGGAACTTGCCGCAGGTCACACAGCCAGCAAGTGGTAGAATTTGGAGTTGAACCAGGATTGTTCTTCTCATAAGCCCAAGTGCTTTACTACTTGGCTGTTATCACTCCATACACCAGATGGAAAAGTATTGTACACTGATGACGCCAAGCACTTTGAAATATGCTGTCTGCTGCAGATTTAGGCTTGATTTCAGAAATGACTCAAGCTTAAGCAAATGAATTATTTTGCTACTTTGTGTTTATTTTATGAGCCATACGTTATTTAAGCTGATTTCCCCCAATTAGGCCACCCTCACTACTGTGCAAAGGTAGGCCAGGGACATAATCACCCTGAACCTCAGTTTCTTCATCTGTAAAAGTGGTGAGAATAATGTTTATCTCACTGATTGCTATAGGATTTTAAATGAGGTCATGTTGGTGAAAGTCCAGTGCTTGACTCAATAAATGTGAGAAGCACCCTCTAGGCAGGGAAATTGATGCCATGGCCTCCCCAGGTGCCCCCTACATCCATGTAGAGTGATATTCATATGTATCCTGAAACACCTTACTGTATGGGGGAGTGGGCTCCAGGGGTAGCCACCATGAAGAGAGTTTTGCCTCCTGTGTCTCTCCTTCCCCCTTCCCTTTGCTGGGGGACATCCCTCCCAAGGCTCCCAACTGCATGATCAACAAAGATGGTCACATTCTCAGACAAGAAGGGATAGTCCTTCAGTATAGGCTTTGCAAGAGCCACATTGCCCTGCCAGAATCATCTTTCCAGCCCCTAGACAAATCAAAAAAGGTTTAGTCTACTCTACTCACTTTTCTTCGATGATGGTCTGACCGTTGCTTCTGGTTTCTTCAATGATGAGTTTCTCTTCCTCGGGGAGTAAGACTTGTGGAACTGAATCTTTACGAGAACCTACAAATAAGCATTGCAAAAAGGTGGAGAGGGAAGAGTTCCTAGTGAGAACTATTTTTAGGTGTCAGTTCCTTTCTCCTATTGTTATTGAAGGGTACTTATTAATAGCATGTTACAACCTTGCACCCAGACATCCACCCAACATTAATGACTAAATCTTCCTGACCTGAGAAAATTCTAAATGGCCAAATATATTGATTAAATCCTGGGGAGGAGAGAATTTTGTACTCAGAAAAATTATGTGAAAGGGCCACTGTGATACCTGTATTCAACCACGACCCCATGTTTTCCTGTTTTGCCTCTTTCACAGCAAAAATTTGACCAGTGATCATTTGTCTATGCACATCTCCAGAAAAGAGCACACCACATCTTATGCTATGGTGTTATATAATTTTAGTAAATTTAGAATAACACTACACTGTGACACAACATGCTTAAAGGGCCTCAGAAATATCACTCACTCCCATTTGTTCTCTTTGCAGTCCTATAAGGTGAGGTAGGGTCAGGAAAGACCATTTTGATTAAGGGTAGAGCCAGAGTTGGGAGATTTCTCTCTGCTCATACTGTCTATAAGATTTGGGATAGAAAAGGTGGCAGAACAGACATAGGACCTAACCAAACAGCGGACTGAAGGGTCCCGGGTTCGATTTCGGTCAAGGGCATGTACCTTGGTTGCGGGCACATCCCCAGTAGGAGATGTGCGGGAGGCAGCTGGTAGATGTTTCTCTCTCATCGATGTTTCTGACTCTCTATCTCTCTCCCTTTCTCTCTGTAAAAAATCAATAAAATATATAAAAATAAAAATAAAAGATTTGGGATAGAAGATGTGGCAGAACAGACATAGGACCTAACCAAACAGCTCTCCTGCACATCCAATCTCCCCCTCATTTCTGGATCCTTCCTCCTGAAGCTCGAACCCTTAATCTCAAGTCTCCTTGAGTCACTGGTTTCCTATCTTCTAAACCAGTGGTTCTCAACCTTCCTAATGCCGTGACCCTTTAATACAATTCCTCATGTTGTGGTGATCCCTAACCATAAAATTATTTTCATTGCTACTTCATAACTGTAATTTTGCTACTGTTATGAATTGTAATGTAAATATCTGATATGCAGGCTGCATTTAGGCAACCCCTCTGAAAGGGTCGTTTGACCCCAAAGGGGTCGCGACCCACAGGTTGAGAACCACTGTTCTAAACCAAGCTCCTTCGTGTTGTGAACACTCACTGCCTTCACCTGATCACCTCCCCTTTCCTGAGGTGGATATGTCTCTACCTCATAGCACTTCATAGGTACTTAATAAATGGATAGCAGACTGACTGACCAACAGACTGAATGCAGCAAGAAATAATAACAGTTTTAGAGAAACAGAACTTTTGGCTGGAGAGGGTTAAAGGGTGGTAGTCACCATGATGCTAAAAGGCTTACTGTCTGCCAAGAACTGCACTATACACTTTCCACATTTAAAAGGTAGGCTGCGGAGGGACAAAATGTGATTCTTTAGGTTAGAGTACCTGCCTGCACCTCCAAGTATATCTATCAACTCTATTGATGTGAAGAGAGGTTGTGGGAAGAGGAGATGAGGTCAGATTTTGTATGAAGGATGTTGCTTCTGGTGTCTCCTTGTGCCCTACTCATTCCTACTTTTCACAATAAAAACTGCTTTCACTTCCCTTTTCTGGATCCTCAAAACTTGTTAGCAGAGCTGGGTATGCCCAAAGCCACAGCCAGGTTTTGCCTGTGAAGCAGAAGTTGTGACAGTCCCCTCTTCATGGTCAAATGTGCCAACTTCCATATTGAACGTTTTCCTCATGACAGTCTTAGAGACAGTCACTTCAAAAGCATATGTCAAGGCAGTCCACCTAAGTGATCCTCTCCCACACTCGAGATGTGTCAATGGCTGTCCAAAATGGAGCGTGATGGAGAATTCATTTCTTACACAGATACCAAATCCCCACATAACCTATCCTGAGACATGATCGATGTGACCTGGCTTTTTAAAAAGCACAAAGATGAATCAGAAAACATTATCTCGCTTTCATTTTGTAACCTGAAAATTGTTCAGGGACATACCCTCACCTAATAGTTCCCTGATAAATTGTATACATTTGAACAGCCCCTGCTAAGCAGCTACATTTCCAGATTTTCAGAGCAACTTTGAAACTTGAATTCGGTGAAGCACTGTTTGCTTAAATATGCAGCTGATCAAAGATAGTATTTTGACTTCCTTTCCAAATCTGCCTATAAGAAGAGATTAGCATCAGTTCACAGACACAGGAACTCTCTGGGCTCTTTAATTCCTAACTAGTGTTGATGAAGGTATCTGTGTACTTCAAAGGAGAATGACTTTTTTTAAAAAAAAATTTTCATTTCTATCACCTCCAACTTTTTTACTCTTGCATCTCTCTTTCTCTCTGGGTGAAAAGAAACTGGGTAAACAAACCGCTTGGTAGGTAAAACCACCTTATCTGAAAGATGCAGTCCTGTACCGCTCCTCTGCACTGCTCCTCTGCACCAAGTCACCTGTTTTAAACACCCTGCACCAATGTGGGTTGCTTTTCTCTTCTTTTAAGAGGCAGTGAGCAGTAAAAAAGAAACATTACTCATTAGAGAAAGTGGTTTGGGGGAACCTACTTGAGCCATGGCCTTGTTGAATATTTGCGCTGGTACAGTAGGCTTCAATCACTTTAAGAATCTGAGCGTCCTCTTCCAGAGCAGCTGTACCTGTCAAATTTAATTAATAATTACTTTTCATAGTGATATATGCCTCTGGAGCCTCAAAATTATGCAGTGAATTCCACTGCTATGGACTGGCCTCTCTGACCAGTGGTATTTCTGAAAGACAGGAGCAAAAGCTTGTTCAATTCTCATAACGGAGTGAGAGTGACACTATTCCCAAGGAGAACTGGGACCAGCATGAGTGAGTTCAGCACCAAGGGTGGCATGCTCCCAAAGCCCATCCAGAGCTTTAAACTGGGGAGTCCTGTCAGTCTCCTCCTCAAGGCCACGTTTGCAGCACTGGGCTTGATACCAGCCTCAGTTCTCATCCAATACAACACATCCTTCCTCTCTTTCAAATTTCAAGGCGCAACTTCTCTAGGAAGCTCTCTCCATTAACCCTAGACATTTTCCCAACCAATCAGCATAGTCACTGATTCTCCCTCTTCCTTCCTCCTCCTCCAACTCATTCTTGAAATGACTAGATGGCATAACCCTGTTAATATGCTGACATGCATACCCAAGTGAGTGGTGAGGGTGAGGGAGGGGGATGCAGAAGCCAGAGTTAATTAACAATTTATCCAGACTGTATTTTCGACTAATACACACAGTTTTGTCACACCTGATGAGAAACTAAGAGGGGAAAATGTATCCATAGCAAATGCTCCTTTTAATGGTTCTAAACCAGGTGGGCAAAATATTCAACATGAAAACCATACAGATGGTGTCTGCCTCAAATGACATGAAGTGCAGAGGAGGCAACTTATTAAAAAATTTTAGAGGTAACCAAACCTTTCTATGCATTTGTTGTTATGTAACAGATGATGCTGGGGGGGGGGGGAGTTGCTCTAACTGCTTTTAAAAAATTGTCTGTTATTTAATCCATTACCAATTTTGAGAAAGTACAAAATGCATACTTTTCCGAATTACATATTCCTCTTCTGATGGCTTTCTTTCAGTCTTTCTTTTATGAAGAAACTTCTTCATGGTTTTGGGGCTTTTACTAGATTCCTGTAAGAATAGAGGTTTCTTTATGAATTAAACTTATCCTCCAAAAACAAATAAAAAAGAGCAAATAAAATTAAATAGAATGGTTCTCTCTTATTTTGTATGTCAGTATCAGGAGTGCATCAAAATGTAATACTATCCACAATTTTAAAAATGGTTCCAATAAATTCTGAAAGGTTAAGTAAAACAGAGGCAATGATATTGTCCTCTCAATTGCTATAGGGATGGGAGTAAGACTGGAGCGTGCCTACTAAAGATGCAGCAGATTCTCCAGGAGACCAAATGCCTTTAGGGTACCATCTGCAGAGAAAGTAATGGATGTCAATCCTAGGGAAATACAGTATTCCTAATGTGGTTTATATTCCCCACTGACACAATATTAAGGGAATTTAATAGTAATTAAATTATAACTACTACTGTACTATATACCTCTTTTCAAAGAGCTTGAAAATGATTTAAATTAATCTTCCTGTGCAACAGTCCCACAATGAAGAATATTAATTTTCATTTGTCCGATGGGAAAATTAAGACAAAGAGACTAACTAATTTCCCCGTGGTCAGAGAGAAAGGCCAAATGAAGGACTTCCTGATAATAATTTTGGGTTAGGGGTAACGTTCCTACAGCCAAGCTCAATATACATATATAAAACTTTTTTAATTAGTATATTTAAAAAGATATAAATTATATCAATTATTGAATTTGTTTTTGCCATATACATAAAACGACAGACATGAAAAACTCACATGTGACAAAAATAACAAAAAAATACCTTTAAAATACAGGAAAACAGACATTTTTAAAGCATTATAAAATGACAGTTTCATATGTATTTCACAAGAGCCTGCTTTTTGAAGAAAATACTTACATGCCAGAATTGCATCTTCATATTTTAGCCACCAATAATAACAAGGGACAAAACAAGCACAAAGGAAAGCTTCATTCATAAAAGGTTACAGCACAACATTATGATGTCACTGTAAGCCAAAGATAGTGTTCTACCCTTACCTTCAAGATATAAGACATCCTCTAAAGTGAATATGTAAAGAAAGAGAAGATGAGCGTGAGAGGTCGATGGTTACAATGACCAAATCCATTTATCAATACTTCTAAAACAACATTTGAAATGTTAGTGTTATCATAAATTACACAGAGAGAATATCATCACGTTTCCCACATTAGTTTTAGATGCAATATCATCATGCAAAAGCCCAAGGAATACAGTTCTGTGCAGAATAACAAATGTTGAAAATAACTAAAATACACACTGCATAGTAAGAATTTATTAATAACTCTCCTCTCCCAGCAGAAAAAAATAATCATGCCTTAGTTTTAATGGATTAGTTCTGTGAAGGATTAAGTCAATTTTACCCCCTCAAAGCTCACCTTAATTTGAATTTAGTAACTGACAATTATGAAATATCCATCATCAAAAAGGGGACCTACATAAATATGAAGTGGCACTCCTGGTTTAGGTAATCAAAAAAAATTGGATGATTGCAATTATCACAGGCAACTTTCAAAGCAAACCTGTGGGACTGTTTCCTGGCCAAATTCTGAAAAAAGGTACATAATAAAAATTCAGCTCAAGAGTTATTTTTCCTATCCTGTTGGGTTGAAAGGATAAAATAGTTCTCCAGTGTCCAAATATTGTTCCATTTTTACTACACTAAGAGTTGAGGCAACAATCGAAACAGTAGCATGTGTTTCAAATAAAAACAAACTCAAAATTCAGATAAGTCTTCATCATTCATCAAAATATACGATAGACAAATATATGCTGTCTTTGCATCATAACTCTAAGACATGTCTCACTGTCATAAATTTAAATCTTCACTCACTAAGACCTATTTAAAGAACAGTTACAAATAAATGATGATCTTTTCTAAAAGCTGAAATGGTGAGCAACAGGTTAGGGGGAAAAACGACTGGATGGAAAAGGTAAACTCCACACAGCTATGGAAGCTAGTGACTGACATTTCCTGATTGCAACTTCGAGAGAAAAGAAAGCCTTGAAATCCCCACACTACCCAAATACCAAATGTCCTCTACAGTTGACTTAGAAGACTCTTTTTTAAAGACATTCCTTTCATTAAATTCTTTTCCCTTTTCAACTGCAGCAAATAGTTCAGACTTTCATAGTTCAGACACATGGCTTGTTACCATAAGACTCTACTGATTTGGTTCAATAGATCAAAATGATCCAAAAAGTAGAATTGGGTCTGTTTGGTTGGAAATTCAACTCTAATGAAGTGGCTCTTGTTTGAGATGTGTATACATCACACCAATTTAAAAATTATCATATCATCATAAAGGTAAAACAAAGGCACTTCAAGAGGAGGTTGGGGAAACTCAGTACACATGAACCCTGTGGAAATTCCATAAATATTTGTAGATAAACAATGGGGAAAAGGAAAATTAAGAACTAAAAATCACCCTAGCTGGTTTGGCTCAGTGGATAGAACGTCAGCCTATGGACTGAAGGGTTCCGGGTTTAATTCTGGTCAAGGGCACATGCCTGGGTTGGGGACTCGATACCCAGCAGGCGGCATGCAGGAGGCAGCCGATCAATGATTCTCTTTCATCATTGATGTTTCTCTCTTTCTCTCTCTCTCTCTCTCTCCCTCTGAAATCAATAAAAATATTTTTAAAAAGAAATAAAAAATCAATGAATCAAGCAATTCAAGATTGACTGACTTGTATCACCTATCATAAATTCTAAGCACATTCCCTCAGAACTATTGGTAATAAGCTACAAAATTAGCTTGTCAGAAGCATTTTATATCATATATAGTAAAATTACCTCTTTATAACTTAGTGCTGCTGATGGTCTAAGTGGAGGTGCAGGTCGTAGACAACTTAAACTCCATGGTTTTATAATTTGAGGAGGCTCCAAGGGTCCTCGGGGCTGTCCAGTAGAGCTAAAAGACTGGGAAAATGTCTGATGAGATATTGGCAATCTGCCATTGGAACCCAACCTTATGCCCCACAGTAAGAGAACATCAATAGTGTCATTGGATCAGCAGTGCCAGCCACAGAAAGGAAAGAACAAAAAACAAAAGTCTCCAGTTTAACAACTTGCACTTTCCAGTCAAGATTATGGGGTCTCTAATACTTTAACCAATAAAGAAATTTTAAAAAAAGCAAAACTGGAAAAAAAAAGATTATGGGGTCTCTATGGAACAGTACTAAATGAATTCAATATCCCATACTCCTGTTCTCCCTCTCTCTTCTGCAATTTCATTAAAGTCAGAATTTTTTCATCTATAAGGGAGAACAGTCAAAATTTAATGAGTTCAGTTATATGTTTAGCACTCTATTAGATACTTAAATTGGTTATTTCATCAGAACAAACATAAGAAAAACTGTAACAAAGTGAAGTAATTAGCCAGCAATTGGCAAAGCTAATATTTGAACCCAGATCTGAGGCCAAAGCCCTTGTTCCTCCTACCACAACACACAGTTCCCCAAACTGGAATTTTGGTATCACAGGTTTGAGTATTAATAAACAACACAGCATATCTTCAATATCACTCAGCAAGTACAGTAAAATCTCATCAATTCAAATTCCATAAATAGCTAAATTTATAACTTGGAAGAAAACAAACTAAGAGTTTACCCTTGAAGGCTACTGAGTGACTATCTATACTAATAAAAGGGTAATATGCTAATTAGAGCAGACATCTTCCGGACGACCTTTCGGACGTCCTTCTGGACAAAGCTGCAGCGGCTGCAAGGGCCAAGGCTCAGGCCAACAGTGGCAATAGCAGCGGGGTAATGGGGGCGGTGCCTTCCCCTGATCCTTCAGGTCACCTCCCACAGAGGGAGGCTAGACTGCAGCTTAGGCTGGGGCCGGGGCCAAGGCAGAGGCAGTTAGGGGCAATCAGGCTGGCAGGGGGGCAAGTTAGGGGTGATCAGGCCAGCAGGAGGGCAAGTTAGGGTTGATCAGGCTGGCAGGCAGAGGGGTTAGGGGCAATCAGACAGGCAGGCAGGCAGAGGGGTTAGGGGCAATCAGACAGGCAGGCAGGCGAGCGGTTAGGAGCCAGCAGTCCTGGATTGAGAGAGGGATGTCCAACTGCAGGTTTAGGCCCGATCCCACAGTCGGACATTCCCCAAAGGGTCCCAGATTGGAGAGGGTGCAGGCTGGGTAGAGGGACCCCGCCCCGCATGAATTTCATGTCCTAGGCCTCTAGTGATAGTATAAATGAGATTACATGGAGATGCTTCAATACTTATGAAGGTAAACTAATGGTTTTGACTTAGCACACTATTAATATGAGAACAACAGTTGCTAACTAAAAATAAATCTTGCCTATCATTAAAACATTTTAGCAGGACTTCTGGTTAGAAAAATATTGCTAGCAGTTAGTTGGTACTCCAAGTTAAGGTCAAACTAAACTGCACACATTTAAGTAAAACTGTATTAATTTAGGAGGACCTCTCTCTACAAGAAATCCAAATTAGTGAGGCTTAACTGTACTTCAAAACCTACAGATATAGACTACCCAAAGATTAAGGGCATTCTCACTGCTTCTTATAAGTCCTCAGCAGACAAGATTTGACTATTTAGTAATCCCTGGACAGAACAAATGGACTACTTACAGAATGAGCACTACAAGATGATGATGATGTCTTGGATAATGAACTGCAGGAAGCAGGTCCTCTAATCAGTCTATACAGCTGTTCCAGCCATTCCTGGAAGTCCTGGTTGTTGCTGCAGTGGACCACAATTCTCTCTAATATGTGACCTGAATCACCCACATTTGGAAACAAAAGGCAAGGAGAACCTTGAGCTTGCCTCATTCAAAAACACTTCACACAACTTGGACTCAAGTGTCTATTTTCAGGAGTTTTTATACTTATGGGAGAACGCTTTCGAAACTACTATATAAAGAACAGATATGCTGTGATAATAAAGAAATAGTTATATCTGATTTGTAAAACCGTCCTTGATTTCTACTGCTTACAGAATCTTAGAAGTAGTATAAAACTTCACTCTAAACAAACTCACAATCCAAAAATTTAAGTAGAGTGCATTTAATTCATAATCTAAAGTGAGAATATTGTAGTTTTACCCAATATCAAAGTTGAAACAAAATCCAACTAAGACTGGTAACACATAACACCAAATCTTTAACTCCCTATTCGGAAAAGGGGGGGTAAGGTCTGGGACCATTATTCTAGTGTTCACCATTGCACCATATCAGTGCATAAAGTACAAACCACTGACCTGGCAAAAGGGACAACAGGCTAAAATGTCAGAGAGACAGGCATTTTCTCAATTTGTGAAAAAAGTTTTATGGCTTTTCAGCACTTTTTAGAAACATAATAAAATCTTGCTAATTCATAGGCTGATGATAAAATTGCTGATAAAATTCCACATCTTTGGCTTCTTTGCCACCAGGGAATAGATGGCAGAAAGGGGAGAAAATTGCATTAACATCAGTCCATTTTGTTATTTCTTAGCTCTAACAAGTAGCTCTTATTCAAGAGAAAATTGAAACTAATGGCAAAGCTGAGGCTTTTGAATGACCAGGAGACTTCTCTGTTCTATAGCTGTACCCTAATTATCCCAGGAAATGATATATACTTTGTCATGCCCATGCAAAAGTTACTCATGGATTATATAACAGAAAATAATAGCATTTATTTATTTAAACCCCACTTCTTTCCAAAAAGGATTTGAAGTAGCTACATGAAAAAGAGAAAATTACCTACCTGTGATTTCAAATGTGTAGTCATTCCCTTCAATTTCATCTAATCTAGTCACCACCATTCCTGCTATTGGTATTTTTCCCTACCAGGAAAAAAAAAGAACATTTCCCATTAATTCTGTGGTTGCACATGTCTCTGCTTAGTTCTATTAGATTTTCTGACCCTCTCAGGAATCACTGCTGGATTATGGCTATATATATTTCTCTGGTCTGTCAATAGATAATGTTTCCCTGCTTTAAATTTCAATAAGATAAGAAAGAGGAAAAACTGGGTTGTGTTTTGCTAGCACATCCTAAACCATAAGGTCAAGATTTATAAACAGCTTACTTTTCTAACAGATTTTCATGAAAAATCAGTAAACAAAGACTCAAATTTTATGAAAATTAATAATTGCTAGGCCAAGATAAGAGGCAGCAGTAATTTATAATACTCCATATTTAGGGAACAGACTGAAGGAAGTTTAATTTCTTAAGGAGTTTAATGATTTGCATCTCAGAAATTCAAACCATATGATGAGACTGTTAGGATGAGGTTCCAGCTTTATAGTTTTTTAACAGTAATGATATAATATGGACCTGTAAAATGCTTTTGCTAATTGATCTAGTTGCAGACTTATATTTATGTTTATACATTTATAACCAGCACAGTGGACATTCAGGATAAACCCATTATAGTAACATAAAGGATCTAAGGCACATCCGCTCTTCTAAGCTATATAATTACAATGAAGGTTCAGAACATTCTGCCTTCTTTGGATGGAGCTTTTAATGTTATAGTAGAAATATTGCATCTGGATGGAAACCTCTATTAATTATGAGTCCTGCTATTGGTTCTATATGAAATCTACTAACCTGATAGATAAAGCCACTCATCCGAGGACTTGCAGATAACATTATCAAGACATTTGAAAATAACATGAGGTACCGCTCCTCTTTTTCCTGAAGTGGAATGAAAAATATTAAATGAAGAATAGAAATTGGACATTTTATTTGTTAAGAATTTCTGGCCCTGGCCAGTGTGGCTCAGTTGGTTGGAGCATCATCCTGTACACCAAAAGGTCATGGGTTTGATTCCCGGTCAGAGCACATATCTAGGTTCCATTCCCAGTTGGTGCATGTACGGGGAGGCAACCTATCAATGTTTCTCACATAGATTATTTTTTTTTCTGTCTCTCTCTCTCCCCATTCCTCTCTCTAAAATCAATAAACATAGCCTCTGGAATTACTATTTTGTAACATAGATCTTACATAAGGCAATGAAACATGAACAGCAAATTTAAAAGAAAGATACTCAATTTAAAAGCACAGAACTAGTTGAATTTTATTTTGAAATGGATATAAACCAAGTCTCTCTCCTTCCCATACATAACAATTAAATACAAATAACCCTGGCTGTTTCCCAAGTATGTAAGCCTGAGAGTCACATAATTAATGCCTTCCTGCCCAAGCTGCAGCCAGAGCACAAGATAACTATCTAGGTTCACCAAAAGAAAACTATTTTATTTTGAAAAGTAGCGAAATAAAGAGGTTTTCAGGTGATAGGAAATTTATTATGTTCTAACATGTATGTTAAATTCTTATTTATAAAATTACTTTTAATCAGTAAGAACAAGATAGTTTTTGCATATATAAAGAGAAGTAAATACTTTTTAATGGCACGAAAGAAAATTTTTCCCAGAAGGGTTTTTTCTGACTCCTTAAACAGATATGCATTAGAAGATGCAAACAATTACATTCAGCTTACATGTCCAGCCATCTTAGCTGCAGCTGCAATTATCCTTATACCTATCTTCCTCCTTCCCCACTTGAGAAGGGCAACCTTTTGAAGCTAACTCTTCTAACAAGGGCTCTCCATCCGTTCACATCTTTCTCTTCCTTGGCTTCCTTCTATAGATATCTCACCTCCGTCTTCCAGCAGCCTCACCTATTCAATCAGCTTTTTCTTTTTGCTTTTAACATATGCACATTTCCTATCATAATAGGCCTTCACTTGCCCCTGTGACTACTTATACAAAATACCACTTCTTGTTATATTTCACTGGTCTATAAATAGATAATGTTTCCCTGCTTTAAATTTTAATCAGATAAGAAAGGGGGGAAACTGGGTTGTGTTTTGCTGCCTTCATGTTCTCCCTATTGATCCCTACCTACTTGCTTTGTTCTCTTAAAGTAATCAATAACTGCCTTCTAGCGAAATCCAATGGCTTCTTCTTGGTCTCCATGCTCCTTGACCTCTGAACTGACCATTTTCAAATGATTTTCCTGGAATTTCCATGACTCCACACTCTCGCAGTCCTCCTCTATCTTCCTCTTTGTCTTTTCCTCTTTGTCTTTTCTTCCTCCCTTCATCGAAGAGGTTTATCCAAAGGTGTGAAACTCTAATAGTTAAACTCTCTGCATTAACCTCCCCCAGAGTATCTACATTTTAAATGAGATTGCTTATTAACCCCATGTAATGAATCTCTGACGGAGTCCTGTCCTGGAGCATAGGAAGATGTTTTAAGAGTGGGAAGGCAGCCCTAACCAGTTTGGCTCAGTGGATAGAGCATCAGCCTGCAGACTGAAAGGTCCCAGGTTTGATTCCGGTCAAGGGCATGTACCTTGGTTGCAGGCACATCCCCAGTAGGAGGTGTGCAGGAGGCAGCTGATCGATGTTTCTCTCCAATCGATATTTCTAACTCTCTATCCCTCTCCCTTCCTCTCTGTAAAAAATCAATAAAATATATATTTTTTAAAAAAGAGTGGGAAAGCAATTCTAACACCAGATAAATCATACCAGTTGACATAATCAACCTTCTTCCCCTACTCTACCCCCTTCCTAAAAGACATAATACATCTTCAGCCCTCTGTGCTTCTCTCTGGATATTTACTTCCTTGGAAGGCCCATCTGTCAGAGACATCTAAGTCTCTGCCTCTAACTCTGACCTCCCACCCACATTTCTATACTTTTTTTTAACAGCTACCTACAAGACATTTCCACCTGGATACCTACAGTTACTTGAAAGCTAACACATCTAAATTACATATGTTATTTCCTCTAGCCCATATGTCACAACTTCCTATAAACTTTCCCATCTAAACATGCCTGAGATTTGCCCCTTAAGTTTCATTCTCTCCACCACTACCTTCATCAGGGGTACTTATCACTTTCCAACTCATCTACACTTTCTGTTTCTAGCCCCACCCCCTCCAGCTTACCTGACATATATGGTTGTCAGATTAAATATCCCTTTCATTATGTTTCTCTACTACCAAAGTCTCATAGTTTCCTATTGCCTGCTGCGTCAATGTGAACTATTCTTGTCTGACATCCAAGGTTCTTCATAACCTGACTCTGACTCAATCAACTTCTCCACTCTGCCCAACATGCTTCCTCTGCTCCTAACAGACTGGCTTCCTCACTGTGCTGTAGAAAAAAAGACCATTTCCTGTTCTCTTCTGGAATAAAAATGACCTCTACCTTACAAAATCCTCTCCTTCCCTCTTCATGGCCCTCCTCCTCAAATCTTATCTCCATAAAATATTCTTCTTTACTCTCCATAAAATATCCTTCTCTGAACGTCAATAGAGTCTATTGTTGAGATTGCACAAACTGGCATTGATTATTTTGGTTTGTTTTCTACTTGCAACTTGTGTTTTAATCTGTTCTTAAGGAATTCTTTGAAGGCAGAGAACAATGTGTGTTCTGTCTTCCTATCTCCCATAGCACCTAGCAGTATTGGGCAAAGAATAGGTGCTCAGTTTCTTTGAATGTTCGAGCATTTGACCTTGATTAAAGAACAAATAAAGGAAGAAAAACGTGAAAGATGGAAAAAATGGTGTTGAGATTTGAAACATCTTACCTCACATGTTCCGTACTGTACCATTACTTGTGACATAAAAATTACATTTCCCAATGTTTTAATATCCTCCCCTTCCCATGCCTGAATAGGTTCAGAAAGTATCTGCAACTCCAGCTGTTTTCGTTTTCTTAGATCTTGGCACTGTCCCTATAGAAGAAAAGCAGAGGAACAGAAATTCTTATGAAACAGACCTAAAACAAGACCAAAGTAAGATGTGGCTTTTGAGTCTCATAGACTTCCACAGCATTCCTATTCTTCACCATGAATCCCATCACCAATGTCTTGACAGATGGAAAAATCCACTACTCTCAATTTCTAGCCTTGAGTCTCCAAAAGTTTTGTGAAGAAGAGCTACTTTTCATCTTGCCAAAATATCAAGATAAAATGGAGGAAGAAGCTTGTTTCTCCTTCCCTGCAAGGAATATGGGAAGACAAGTAGCAGAATCACATCAAACAGAACCAGGAGACCAATTGGTAGATTCAGAACTTCTGGGTGATGTCCCTGCTCTAGCTCCTCTCAATCTTGTCTACCTACATAAATAGTGTTTTAATTACAAAGCAATTTTATTTTTCTAATACATGCTCAGTTTCCAATCAACTAACATCTTAATTTTTTTTAAAAAAAAGTGACTCCAGACCTGGCCAGCATGGCTCAGTGGTTGAGCATCAACCTATGAACCAGTAGGCCATGGTTCAATTTCCGGTCAGGGCACATGCCCAGGTTGTGGGCTCGATCCCCAGTGGAGAGTGTGCAGGAGGCAGCCAATCAATGATTTTCTCTCATCATTGATGTTTCTATATCTCTCTCCATCTCCCTTCCTCTCTGAAATCAATAAAAAAAATACTAAAAAAATAAAAATAAAAAGTGACTCCAGGAATTACAGAAAAAGAGAAAAATTAATTCTTTATGCCACAACGAATCAAACTAATCTTATAATAAAACATATGTACTACCCTATACTTTATTTAGGAACTACTAGTAAATTCTATTAAAAATACTAAATTAATTTTTATTCCTAAAAGGATTGGAAAAAAAGAGATACACCTGAATTTCATGAGTACAAATGGAAAATACAATCCAAGAAACAATAGGTGGGATATAAATACAATACAACACACACACACACACACACACACACACACATACATACACACACACCATTGCTTCAGAAAGTGTGAAATTATCTTAGAGTAATTTAACAGTACTCATTCCAAATTAAATATAAAAATAAGCATATGATTAGTTATGTCACTGTTTGCAAATGAATGTCAGTTTTTTTGGATATGTTTTCTACAAAATTTATGCTGCCACTTTCAGCAAAATGGAAACTTGAAGAAATAAATTCATTGTACATATATTTTTGAAGCATCTATAGTGCAAATAAATATACTATCACCATCAAAGCAAGTTTTACAACATGTGTTGAACCGTGTAAAACTGCCAATATTAGACTGTTTTTGATCTATAAGAGCAATTTTAACCTAATTCCTTATTCTGGTCTTCAATTTTCTGTTTAACCATGGACATGTCAGGTACTGATCTTTCAATAGCAATAAAACGAGGTGATAGCGAATGTTGCATCACAACCTTACAGCAAGAATCAATAACTAAACATTAATCTCAATCACTTAGAATGCTACAGAAATGTCTCAACTGAAGCTAAACTTAGTCAGTTGCCCAAAATAATGTTTTATTTCCTCCTAAAATGCCACCAAGTGGTTTTACATCAGTTGGTATCAAGAAGTCATTAACTATCATGCTCAAGATACAAGATTACAGGCACATTCGATAGCAATCTATATAAAGCAATTGCATTTTAGTAGGTGTTTTTTTTTCCTTTTACATTTGATGAAGTTTTTTTTTCATATGCAAAGAATAAATTCACACCTTTTGGCATAAGTAGATGACTCTAGTATTGATGTCAGTCAGTGAACAACAAGTTGCACCAACATAAGGTGAGCAACACAGGGGTAAAGACAAAGAGACTAAAGGAAACCCCCCACCTACACAGCAATGCTTAATGTGGCAGAGACTTCAAATGTGAGTGCTTTATACCCTCAGACTGGCAACCTTTCTTAGGTAAGCATGATTTTTGGAAGACAAATTTAAATGAATCAATCCTGGCAATATTGTCACTAGAGTTTATTGTTTCCACTCTAAAGACCTTTTCATAAGAAAATAAATGTTACACACAAATTACTCTTTTAGAAACACAGCATAAAAATGGAGAAATATAATTTTAGAGCGTGACCTACCATGAGAGTTTTGAATGCTATGATGGCTTTCAGAACATCTTGATGATCTGGATGTGTATCCTATTAAATAAATACATTTTAAAACAATATTAAAAGAGAACAGATCAGTAGTTGCCAGGGATTAGAGGTGGGAGAAGGGTGTGGCTGCAAAGAGACAAAATGAGGAAATTTTGGGGATGATGGAACTGTTCTGTATCTCAATAGTGGGAGTAGTAACACAAATCTATGCATGTCATAAAACTGACATCAAAAGAAAAAAGTCAATTTTAATGTATGCTAATGTAAAAATTTAAAGAAAGCATTTGAGCATTTGGAATATCAGCACCGCCAATTATTAGATGATTACGAAATTAAAACCTGACCGGAGAGCTCATTTGGTTAAAGTATTGCCCTGATGCACCAAGGTTGTGGGTTTGAACCCCTGTCAGGGCATATACAGGAAGCAACCAGTGAATGCATGGATGGGTGGAGCAATGAATCAATTTTTAAGCCCTGGCCACTCTGGCTCAGTTGGTGGAGTGTTGTCCATACACCAAAACACCAAAAGGTTGTGGGTTCAATCCCCAGTCAGGGCGTATGGGGAAGGCAACCAATTGATGTTTTTCTCTCACATCGATGTTGCGCTCTCTCTCGCTCTCTCTCTCTCTCTTTCTCTCTCTCTCTCCTCTCCTCTCCCCTTCCACTTTCTAAAATAAAATTAAATTTTTTTAAAAGATATGAAAATGGGTGGTAACACATCATTATATTTGATAACCACATATTAGGTATGGTTATTGAGGCAAAAATTACCATTTCCTTTTTTGCTGTTAATAAAAAAATAATTGGGGGCATCATTAGTCACATTGTTAGTAAATGACAATAGATAGGGAATTATGGAAACAGAGTGGTGGTTAAGAGAAAAATCAATCCAATTTTATCTCCTAAAATGCTTCTTTTTTCTTTCAGCAGACTCAAATGGCAAATGGAGGGGAAAATCCAAGTTTTATACCATATATGCCTTCTTAAGCAAAGTTATTATATATGGTCTGCAATTCCATAGTACTTACAACCCCAAAAAGTGGACAGCTTCAAAAATTGCTTTGAGCAGGATTGGGGGGGGGAGCAATGGGGACCACACATTTTTAATACCTTAATCAATAAAAAAAATTGCTTTGAGAAATGCACATCTTCATAACTATTTATGAAGGAAAAGTAGAGCTTCTTGGGGATAGATATACACCTATATGGGGTTATATGAAGTATAGATATGTATCTAACATTGGGGGTATATATGTACCTAACCTTTGGAATTCAGCTGGAGTAATGGGAAGACAATCTGCTGCTCAACCAGCCTTGGGTGATAAAATACAGAGCTGAACAGACTAGGGGTCTGACCCAAGCCAAACCCAGCATTGTTTAATGAAAGGAAAGGTTGTATTCTTTTTATACTTAAATTTATCCTTACCCAAATCAGCTGTAAAGTTCAGGTTCTATCTTCCATTAGCCATCAGCCATACTAAACAATCAGAAAGCTGGATCAAGTGTCTCACTGGTGGTGAATCAGTGCTAAGGGTGTGTATTATCTGATGGTGGAAAATGGAAGGCAGCCAAGACAGGTAACTGACAGCAAATGGAGGTAGAAGTAGAAATGGGCTCTGATACAAGGAAGGCCAAGATAGAGGATCCAGGCAGTAGGAGATCTGGGGATTTTTTCTCTCCAAATTAAGTGTATATTCGTAGTTCAGCACTGAGCAGTAACAGAAACTGAGGCCACTAGTTTCTGGATTTTTGTGACAAGCGAGGGGCAAACCTCAAAAGGTTCATCAAATTGTTTCAGCTTTTGGAAAGGCATCCAGAGGTCAGCACCTTCCCAAGCCCTAACTGAAATTTCATTCCGGCGGGCTTTACTACTAGTTCCCCACTGCCTCCAGCTTTCTGGCAGGTCAAATAACCTGAGAATGTGGTTTTGTTCAGAGTAAATACTTTCAATCCTTACAAATGCTGACAAGACAAGCAGTGTGCAACCTTTTTTTTTTTTAGAGATAATCAAACCCTTTAAAACCTCAAACCTTTCCCCAGACACAGGAAGAGCAAGTAGGGTGAATGCAGCCTCCCCTAGCAGGCTCTCCTTTCCCACCCACACCTCAAAACCCCATGTTCATGAGCAGCTCAAGAAGCTATCCTTGTTATTTGTTTTTTAATAAGAGTGCCTGGGCTCTTGGTAAAAAAAAAAAATCAACTATCAGGCCTCACTGAAATCTTAATATTTAGAAAACATATGGCTATGTTACAGCTGTGGCAAGTTAATTGTAAGTTTATAAACAAAAATGTGAGGGGACCTTGATGTAGATGTATAGATGCAAAGAGAGATAAACTAATATTGGACCCATTTATTAATCTTTAAGGAAATACAAGAATCTTCCATTATAATCCAAAGTCAGGCAGCTGAATGACCACAGAGCTCTAGAGATAAATATTCCTGTCTATATCCCACAATAAGGTTGTTCATATACCAGAACATAAGATTTCCTGGATGATTTTGATTGAACCACCATCTACAGATGAGAGGGCAGAAGAAAACCTAAGTCAACAAGTTAGCAGAGACTTGAGGGAAGCAACAGGACCAAGGCTGGGAGGGGAAAAGGAGAAAGAAGAATGATCATGAATATTTAATAGTAAAGGGTGGATAACATAAGTTCATGGTGATTATAGTTTATAACATTGTATTGTATACTTTTGCTAAGAGAGTAGATCTGAAGAGTTCTCAGTATAAAAAATGGTAACTATGTGAGATGATGGATGTGTTCATTAACTTGATTGTGGTAATCATTCCCCGACATTTGTGTATATTGAATCATCACATTATACACCTTAAGAAAATCGTGTTGTATAACCCAATATACACAATTTTTATTTGTCAATTATACTTCAATAAAGCTGGAAAAAATAAATAAAAATGCATAAAGAGTAAAGAATATTCCGAAGGGGGGAAATGCCCCCTTTTTTGCTGCACAAAAAGAAAAACCAAAAGTCTGGGAAGAGGGGAGATTGGATCAAGTAAATTTGGAAACTAGGGCTTTTTCTGAATTCTGCAGTAAGGTTAAGTTTGAAGGCAGACTGACAGCTTCCTCTAAGAGCAGAGCCCCATAATTTATGCATGAGCTTTAAAAAGCTCACCTTCCCTTACCTCCATATGCCGTTCCAACTCTTGCAAGAGAGTAACATACTTCTCCAGTCTCATGAATGGTTTGCTGAGGCTTGTTGTTAAAATGAGGATACCTGGGCTGGATGCACCTTGATTTTCCATAAATTGCTCCAGTTCATCACTACCAAAAGGACAAATACAAATTTGTTACTGCTTAATCTTTCATGAAAAAAAATAACTGAACATTAATTAATGTATTTCACATAACATAAAACAAAATAAAATTTTGTTTCACTGGACTAAATGCTGTCCCTTTCATTTTAACTTAATCCAATAAACCTTTATTCAGTTCCTCTATGCAATTAGCATTGCACAGAGCGCTGGGGCTACAGTGGTAAGCCAGACATTCATGAACCCTGGCTTCATTTACTCATCCAACAATTATTGCATCTACTAAGCAACAGGCTCCATTCTCTGTTGGGAATACCACAATGAACAACACAGAAATCCCTACCTATAAGGAGACTGCATTCATGGGAATAGGGCATACAGTCTATCAGATGACCTCGATATCAGGTTTTAAAAGCTATTTGCTTGTCGCTTCAAACATCCTAGCTATTGGCTGGTCAGATGCCAAGGGTAGCAACTCACCAAGTGCTCCCTATCACCGGAGCACCCACTTGTATTGTTCCAGAATCAAGTACTAAATTCAGATAGCAGCATGTTTGTATGACTAACTATAAAGTCACTTAGCCTAGGATCTGAAACCAATATAGCAAGCTACCCAAACAACTTGGTTAAAAATAAAGGAGAGTGTATTAATAGTTTATTAACTATGTCCTGTAAATATCTATTCTCAGCTTGTACTTTCTCTGCCCTTTAAGCACCCTGTGGATCGTCTTCACCAACAGGATATTGAGTCCCAAGGCTGCAAAATCATTTTAATATACATTTGCACAAAATATAATTAAAGAACACCTACTGCCTAACTAAAGCATATTTTGAAACTTTTGTCTATCACTTGATCCCTTTACCTCTTTGCTTGCCCAAGCATATCCTATCAGTCACAAGTCTTCTTGTATCTGTTTATTCCTTTCCATTCCCACTGCCACTGCCTCAGTTCAGGCTTTCTCATCTTATCTGGTTCACTTCAATAACCCAAGTGATCTTCTAGGCTTTTTCATTTCTGAACTATTCTGAATACCACCATTTTAATCCCGTTGCTTTCCTACTCGAGAACCTCTGATTGCCTATGAGATCATGTCTTATTTTTTTTAGACGCCTACTGGCCCCACCAATCTTTTTCGTCACTCTCCAACAGAAACCCTGAACAACTTATTCTCCCTAGGACACATCTTATCCAGTGGTCCCCAACTGTGATGCATTGCAATAAGTTGTGAAATGTGTTCAATGAAACATCATTATTAAATACTAGGAGGGTTGAGAATGGGGTGGGTTACAGGTTATCCCTATTAACAGACCTTCTCCTTCTATGATTTTTTTTTAAGCAGGAGGGAAAAGGATGGAGCTTCAGCTAATGTCTCAGCTTCCTTGAGTATCACATATGTGTCAGAGGGGAAAAAGGACTAAGAATTGCTGCCTTAAGGAAAGCTAAATCGCATCTGAGTGGTCACATTTAATAATTAATGTTATTTTAGCAGTTTTTGCAATCTTGCTCCAAAAGCAGCTGAAGGGAGGGAAGTGCCCAAAACTTGGAGTCATAAAACAGATTTGCTGTGGGCACACAGTGCAAGATACAGATCTTGTAACATAGAAACCCACACCTGAAGCCTATATGATCATATTAACCAATGTCACCCCAGTAAATTTAATAATAAAAAATTTAAAAATAATAATAATGGATTTTCAACTAAAACAAAACAAACAAAAACACAACAGATCTGGTGACCCTGGATCAGTGACCTAGCCTCAGATGACTCATCTGTAAAATAGAAATAAAACCTACTTCCTACTACAATTATTAAGATTAAATACTTGGGGTTTGTAAGGCTACTATTTCATGCTAAGATCATTGCATACATTGGTTCTTATTTAATTCTAGAGGCCCGATGCATGAAATTCGTGCAAGAGTAGGCCTTCCTTCCCCTGCTGCTGGCACCGGCTTCCCTCTGGCACCTGGGACCCGGGCTTCCCTCGCAGTCCCGGCTTCGTCTGGAAGGTCATCTGGAAGCATGTCTGGTCTAATTAGCATATTACACTTTTATTATTATAGATTCACAACATTTCAACACAGGTGTTATCCTCATTTTACAGATGAGAAACTTGAGTCTCAAGAAGAATGAGTAACAGCATGTACATGGCTAAGTTGGGGTTCATACCCAAATGTGAAGTTAAAGCCTCAGGTCTTTCCATGACACCACACTGCCTCTGCATAGGAAAGTATTTTATAAATTTTAAAGTAGTCATTAGATGCATTTTTATTACTATTATTATTATTCCAAGGCAAATACCTTGCTAAAATAGCATCTTTAAAAACTACATTTTTAATTGAAATCCAATTGATGTTTAATTTCCAACCAAAAGCATAAAGTGCACAAAGAGGTTTAAAAATTCATGAAATATAAAATATAATTAGGAAAATAACTGGAACTTGGGGAGTGCATTTGAGTAGAAGTGTAATTTAGAGAAAATCACTTTCCTAATTTCTTTTCAATTTACTAAACAAGTCTTACTTTTTTCTTTCCATGACTAAGTAACCGCCCATATTCTCAACATTCTACTCTAATTAATACAAGTGATACAACACTTAAAAGCAAATGCTAATGTGTTCGCTGTTATTGCTTCCCATGCAGCATTTTAACTTCTAGACTTATTAAATATTATAAAAAAGCTTTCAAATTTTTTAGTATAATATGAGAACACTGGTTATTGGAAATAAAACACATTTTACTACTGTAATTGAAAAATAAATTTTTAAAGAGGAAAGAACATTATACTAGTACAACAAAAGAACATCACATAAAGCAACTGTCTGTTATGATAAATAGATTATAAAATGTACATTTTCATTTAGCCAAATAAATTTAATATACAAATTAACATACACAAAAATCAATACAGGTTATGGCAAAAGTAGGTTTACAGTTGTGAGTACGGGATACACAGAGTTTATTCTTGTATTATTATTTATTAATTATTATTTATTAATTATTGTATTATTTTCTATATGAACAACTGTAAATCTACTTCTGCCCACCCTGTATATCATTACACCAAAGAACAATCTGTCTATAAAATGCAGTTTTTAATTTTATACAGCTTGTTTGAAATGTGAGTTAAGACTTGCTTTTCAAGCTTAATATGTTCTATATATATATGATATGACACAACAGAAGCATTTCTCAATGTATAAACTTTGTTTGAAACTCAACATACATTTATCTCATAAAATTCATGGTGGATGAGGTTCTGGTATGTTCTGGGTTGGGCTGGAAAGCTCAAGAAAACTATCTTACATTGTAATATAACTACAGAGCTTAACCATATCATGTACCTGTGTTTTTGTGGAACCTCTGCATAAGATTGCTACTTTGAATAATGATAACTCTACCTAGAACAGCTAGAAAAAGATCAGATATTTATTTCCTCTCCATACCAGCCTTTCATGGGAATCACTGTGGCCTGGAAAGGGGAGGTGAGACATGAGGATCTGGGAGGCCCTGGCCTCTAGCCAGTGGAAAATTCCAAGGATGCCGCTCAGTTGGGTTGGGTAGTTATCTATTATCCCTTTTTCATTTATCCAGTCTCAGAGACTAGGCTGTCTGCTGCTTTTTTTGTCCCCACCACATTTTGTTTGTGTCCAGTCTCACTTTCTCCTTTCCCTGGATGCTCAAAGACAGAAACAGAACAGAATCTAATCTCAGATTTTTTCCTATGCTCCTTGTCCCCAAAGCAAAGACACAATTCTTTGGGTTTTTCCTAAAGTCTTCACTGCTGACAACAGTGATAACAGAGACTTAATAAAACTAACAAGAGGAAAAGTACACTGTGGTTTTTATGGTATTTCCTGCAATAGAGACAGAAGTAAGGTCCAGATCTGTCTTAGCACCAAATCTCTCCTCCTCTCTATTAACTCCAGGTCCCTCTCCCTCATGCAAAGAATGGACATCATACTGAAGCATGGGAATAAAGTGGGTATTTTTGTAAGGGAGAAACATAAGCTACAGCAGCAAGCCAGAGGGGAGAGAAAGGGGAAATCCCAAAAGACCTCACCCAGGGGATAGTAAAAGACTGGGGCAGCTATTCAAATATATGTAAATCTGCGAACACACCAAGGCTGGAGTCTGCTTATATATCCAAATTCAGATGATACATTACTGCATTTTTTACAAGGTACCAACAGGCAATCATAGTGTTTATTAAGGCTGCATGTTTTCTCATTGCCAACTGCCACACTAATTTCTGGTATGATATTGCCACCTGCAGGCCAAAAGGATTCAGTTCAACTGACTGGTCTGCTCAGGCTAGGAGTGATTTTCCTGCTTGTAAATATCTTACAATTCATCAGGAAAGGAACAGAAATCTACCGATGTCCTTATTTCATCTGCAACCTTCCGCTAACACAGGATTTCTATCTGGATTTTATGCAAATTTTATTCAGCTATGCTTTTCCTCTAGTATGTCAGCATAAATGTAGCATATAAAGTAGCTGAGATAATATTAGAAGCACATCTGAGGAAAATCCCAAGTATTATAATTGAATTTTCACCCCTTACATGTAAATAAACCAGTAAGATAAAAATTCAATTCTAGAGGACTCCAGTGAATCTTCTTCCATTTCTAGGGATATTATAAATCTCAAAAAAAATCACTAAGCAAAATCAAGCAAACAGCATAAAATAATTCCTCCAAAAGTTGTGAATCTTTAAATTAACAAATGTAACACACTTTAAATCATAAAGTTAGAAGAAATATCTATTATTATTTATAAAATTAAATTCATAATATGGGTAAATTCAGTCAGTAACATTTTAGCACACAGAGTTACCACAGAAAGTTCTCTAAATACTACAAAAGGCTGTTGTTTGAGGTACACCATTTCTTCCTGATATTTATCCAGAATGCTGTTCTCAGACTAAAAGGAAAAGAATTGTAGGTATCTCTTTTTGTTGTTATTAAGAAATCTGTCCTTATACATACAGGATGTTTATGTTCCCATCA